CACTGATCAAATATCTCTTACCTTGACATGGTGTGCTGAGGCGTTCTAAATCCCATTGTTTTAACAAGTCTTCAAGGTTTGGACACGAAATAACAACACTCGACACACGCAAACGCACAACACGTAACGCTGCGGCTGCGGAGCAACTGCCTGCTCGATCGCCCGGCTCGGCTGCGCCTGGCTCGGGCCGACTGCTGCGTCGCTCAACCCGTTCAGAGCTGCGGAACGTAGTGGGAAACAAAGCGAAGAACCATAACCTATGTGAAAAATCGCGGTTTTAGTTCTTTTCTCGAAGTGCTATGTGAATGCATACACAAAACAGTGTTCTTGATATGAGAACAGAAAACTCCTCGTGCGGGGAGGGGGCAGTGGTGCCCAAACACACAAACCCGATGACAAACGCTAGGCGCCCACTCTGCGCTGTAGACAGCGAGGAGGGCGAGTGGAGAGGGGGGGGGGGAACTTTGCCCTCTGGTAGAGACAGTCTTGGGGACTGTCTAAAAGCGAGAGGGAAACCGAGCATAGAGTACTCCGGGGCTCGGCTCGACCGGAAGGAGAAGAACAAAAATCGTCGGACCGGTCGAGCGCGGGGAGGAGCGGGAAACTGCCCCCACCCTGCTCCGCTCCTCCCCGCGCCCGACGATTTTTGTTCTTCTCCTTCCGGTCGAGCCGAGCCCCGGAGTACCCTATTGAAACTACGCATTGTTTCAAAAACACTTTTCCCTGTGTGTTGTAAAGAACGAGCCGAAACAAATCGCCTTGTCTACAGGCACGGTCTTCTTGTGGCTGTTCTGGCCGTCGTTCAACGGTGGCCTGGCCTCGGGGCACGCCCGTCACCGCGCTGTCATCAACACTTACCTGGCGCTCGCCTCGGGCTGCGTCGTGGCCTACGCCGTGTCCTCGCTGTCGCAGCGCGCCGGCAAGTTCAACATGGTCCACGTCCAGAACGCCACCCTGGCGGGGGGCGTCGCCATGGGCACCGCCGCCGACCTCATGGTGCAGCCCGTCGGCGCCCTCATCATCGGCGGCCTCGCCGGCGCGCTCTCCGTCCTGGGCTACGCGTTCCTGCAGGTGCGCCGCCTGGAATCACAAATGGATGGACGTTTGAAATCTGTTCACAGCCGAGTCGTCACACCTTCCTAATGTTGCAGCCCGTGATCCTGAACCGCCTCAAGGTCCACGACACGTGCGGCGTGCACAACCTGCACGGCATGCCCGGGGTCATGGCCGCCATCGTGAGCGCCGTCATGGCAGGCATCGCCTCCCAGAACGACTACGGCTGGCAGTGAGTCCTCGACCAAGTCTTGCTCGTCAATGAATAAAGCATTCCGGTAATGCTTAAATGCAGAAGAATGCAGGGAACAAGAAAACGGAAGTCACCATGTCAAAGCATAGCGAGTTCCGTTTTCTTCCCCGCATTCTTCTGCATTTCAGCTTTACCGGAATGCTTAATTCCAAGTCGATACATGGTTCTTTACAACTTCCCTGCTGCTCTGAGAGTTACCCGAGTGTGCGTTTTGCCTTCTTTTTTCTTGTACAGATTGTACGTGCAGTTCCCAGCGCTCATACCCCGAGATGATCAGCCGGAGGAGCTGGACACCGTGCGTAGCTCTTTGAGTGCGGCGGTCGAGCCGGGCCTGGGCCGCACTCCTCTGCAGCAGGCTGGTTACCAGCTGGCGGCCCTTGCCATGACCCTGGTCGTCAGCGTGATAACGGGCACTATCACAGGTTGATTTACATTTCACAAGCATAAATCAAATGCACTGAACCGCGAACAATTTTACTAGCAATTTCTGTGTTTGATAGGATTTCTCATCAGGCAAGACAAGTTGCTGCATCAACTGGGTAAGGAAGGCCTGTTCGAGGATGCCACGTTCTGGGAGGTCCCCGACGAGGAGAGCGGTGGTAGCGAGGTGTCCCCCTCCGCCGCAGCCAACTTGACCACTATGACACTGGGGACCGTCAGAAAGCTATCAGCGTCGTCTGTAGAAGCCGCGAACAACATCCCCACCCTCAGCGCGGAGGCAGACCGGGAGCCACGAGACGAGACCCACAACAAATGGTGAAGCAGAGAAAAGGGCGGAATGTGACCTTCAATTACATTAATGACTGGAAATTACCAACTGTACAAAGTAGATTAATGAGAATCATAAAACTTGTTATTTTACAAATGTTAATTCATTTCGAGTTACATCCCACAAACCAGTGTAAGCAGTAAGCAGTGTGTGAAATCCGGAACAATGGAAAAAACCGTCCCAAATAGGTGTCATGCGTTGCACTCTGGCGATAACTTCAAACAAACAATTACACACAAAAAATTTACCAGGTGGCTGATTAGCCCCGCACACTTGCACTTTACCGTGTATCAGGAGGGCTATGGCGCATCAGTACCTACGCAGGTTTGGCTCTGCCTACTCCGTCTCGTACTCCGTCCATCCGCCAGGCGCCAGGGTAGGCAAACCTTCAGCACAGCTGTGTCGTAGTCTTGACACACGGTACTGCAGTGTTTTCGATCGGGCGGGTTTGCCTATCGTAACTGGCCACGGTACCTTACGGACCCGATTGGATAGGCAACCCGCAATGAGGGGGGGGGGGGGGGGGGGGTACGCTCAGCATTCAGCATACAATGGAAATGCTGGAGTGATGCATGTATCTCGCATCTCGCCTGAAACGTTTTCGTCGCTTTATGTCCCATATGACTAAAGGACCATCGCTCCTTTGAGCGACAGTGGTCATTCCAATCAAATAAGGCAAGCGTTGCTTGTATGTAAGTAATGATTTTGGAAGCAATGCTTTTAAAATGGTTTGCTTATCCAAGAGTGACGATGGGGTTCAGCCACGTTAAGCTTCGTTCAAACGGGAACCGTTCTGATTTCCATGCGTCAGCTAACCCCCAAAAGTTATAAAAGATAATGACAGCGGTGGGATTCGAACCCACGCCCTTTCGGACTGGTGCCTAAAACCAGCGCCTTAGACCACTCGGCCACGCTGCCAGGCTGCGCACTTCTGCCGTACAACGGCAATACAATCTACGTTAGAGGGACCACGGCTGTGGAACAATACTTACAGCCCTGACTGTTCCACTTGTTCTTTCTCAGTTGTTCTTGAACCACTTTTCTTGAGGAATATGGACAACGCAGTAACCCCAACTTTGCGATAACGCCTCAAGTAAAGCATTTAGAAGGCTCTTCATTTTTGTCTCCTCACCAGCAGAGCTACCAACATTGACTTGTTTCGAAAGAAAAGGGAATTGTAAGGAGAAAACAAATTTTCCTCTGAATGCGTAAAACACAGCGACGTATTGAAATTCTTGTGAAAGTTTTATTTTTCAAAGCGATTTATTCAGTATTCTACAGCAGAAAAGGTAAAGCTATTGTTTCGAAATGTTAGTAAACCTTCCAATCAGGTGTGTGAAAACGCGCGAAGAATCGGCTGCTCTAACCTTTGTCAACACAACACAGCTTCAGCGGAACAGTCCCAACACAAATTCTACTTATTGTAATTGTGTGTTGCTATTTCAAAGACATGGTTATTTTTTAATCGATTTAATGACATCAAAATCCATCATTCAAAATGGTCCTCCAAAATAGTGGACGCTACAAAGCTGACAAAAATGAGAAGTTTGAGAAGAACTCCGGCGGTGGCCCAAAGTAAGGTTCTTTCTAGTAACTAGTAATAACTTTCTTAAGCTCCTACATGCAATAACTCCGATTTATTTAACCGAAAAATAATCCAGTGAATTGCACTTGTAAGCATGCATGTGATCTTCTGCCCAAGTTTTATAATGTTCGTTGATCAATTGAACGTTATCAATCATATCAATTTTATTGTGTGACAGAGTTGCTTCTTAGCATATGAGAGTTTCAATCTGAACGCATTTCCCTTTGAATTACAGAGAAGACAATTCCGAGAGTAGACTTCGTCAATCCTTAGAAAATGATGCCATTGACACCAAATATGGATTTAAGAGAGTGTCGGATCATCAAGAGAGGGCCGGTTTTCTTATCAACATGCATACAGTATGTTCACTCTTTGTAGGGAAACCTTTTTTGAACTAACTCATATACATAACTTGTAAAAATTCCTTATTTTCTGTTTACAGACTGAAATATTGGATGAAGATAAGAAACTAATTAGTGCAGTCGATTACTACTTTATCCAGGAAGATGGAACTCGTTTCAAAGCATCTTTGCCTTTCAAGCCCTACTTCTACATTCTTGCTAGGAAGGAAAACATCCAAGAAGTGTCAGCATACATATCTAAAAAGTTTTCTGGAAAACTTGCCTCATTGGAGATAATATCAAAAGAAGATCTAGACCTGGTCAGAAAATTATTTTTTTTCCTTGTGCATAGAGTATTATGTAAATGAAATATCTCACATATTTTTTCTCTATTTGTAGCCAAACCATCTGATTGGCCTGAAGCAACGCTACATCAAGCTATCATTTTTAACTGTTAAAGATTTGATGGATGTTCGTAGCCCAATAATGTCTGCTGTCAAAAAGAATAGGGAACGTGAAAAAAATAACACTTACTATTCTGAACTCCTCAGCAAAGCTCTAGCAAGTACAAGTGCTGGTGTCACCCATAAACAGAATGATCACATGGAAAACATATTAGATATCAGGTAAGTCAAGGTAGAACAGATGTTAAGTATATCTGGTTGATCATGATTTCTCAATAACTCAATTCTCCTAAAACTTTTTAGGGAGTATGATGTGCCATACCACATACGTGTCTCCATTGACAACAAAATATTTTGTGGGTCTTGGTACTCTGTCTGTTCAAGAGGAACAGAAGCTCCTTTCATCACTAAGAGAGATGATATTATTGAACGACCTGATATGATTGTTTTAGCATATGATATAGAAACAACCAAACTACCTCTGAAGTTTCCAGATGCTCAGTCAGATCAAATCATGATGATCTCATACATGATTGATGGACAGGTTGGTCCAATCTCAGCCTTGTATTTATTTCTGAAATAAGGCTATCTACTCTAATCTTGATTCTCACAGAATTATTCATTTTCCAGGGTTACCTAATTACAAATAGAGAAATTATATCTGCTGATGTTGAAGATTTTGAGTACACACCAAAGCCAGAGTTTGAGGGTTTTTTCACTATTTTCAATGAACCTGATGAAAGAGCTCTCATCCTTCGCTTCTTTGAGCATATAATGGATGTGAAGCCTCATATTTTTGTTAGCTACAACGGTGATTTCTTTGATTGGCCTTTTGTTGAAGCAAGAGCAGCTATCCATCAATTAGATATGAAACAAGAAATTGGCTTTTCTAAGAATAAGGAAGGCACCTACTGTTGTAGAGCTGCAATGCATATGGATTGTCTTTGGTGTGTTAGAAAAGAGTTTCTTCTACTTTATCTTTTAAATTAATTTTGATCAATCTCGAATTTATTCTTTTACTTAATTTTGTTTAGTTGGGTAAAACGAGATTCCTATCTCCCTGTTGGTTCTCAAAATCTAAAGGCAGTAGCCAAGGCAAAACTTCGGTATGATCCGGTTGAACTTGATCCGGAAGACATGTGTGCACTGGCTGCTGAGCAACCACAGGTTATGTCGAACTACTCAGTGTCTGATGCTGTTGCGACTTATTATCTGTACATGAAGTATGTCCACCCTTTCATTTTTGCCCTTTGCACCATCATTCCCTTAGAACCTGATGAGGTAAAGTTTATTGTTAGACTGATCCAAATTGATTGCATCAAAGTTCTATATCATTGTAAAAATGCATTTCTCATTTTTGTAGGTCTTGAGGAAAGGATCTGGAACTCTTTGTGAAGCCTTATTGATGGTGGAGGCATTTCATGCCAATATTATTTTTCCTAATAAACAAGAGTCTGAACTGAACAAACTGAGTGAAGATGGGCATGTCCTAGACCAAGAAACTTATGTTGGTGGTCATGTGGAAGCTTTAGAATCAGGTGTTTTTCGAGCCGATATCCCTTGTCAATTCCGTGTTGTAAGTAACTGTCAAGTATTATTTGACTTAGCTTTTGTGAGACTTATGCTTTTTCACAAACCCCTCTATATTTTAGGTTCCAAGTGCTTGTGAGAAACTCTTAGGTAATGTAGAAGATGCTCTGAGACATGCTATAGTGGAAGAAGAACAAATCCCTATAGAAATGGTTACAAACTTTGATGAAATTGTTGAGGATATTAAAGCCAAGCTAAGAGACCTCAGGGATACTCCAATGCGCTTAGAAAACCCCATTATCTATCATTTGGATGTTGGTGCAATGTATCCCAACATTATTCTAACAAACCGTCTCCAACCATCAGCCATGGTATTGTTTGCTTCATTTAAAATTTGTGTTTTATTCTTTTCTTGTTGGTAATTTTTGGGATATTTTAGGTGGATGAAGAAACCTGTGCTGCTTGTGACTTCAACCGTCCTGGTGCCAGATGTCAGCGGAAAATGGCATGGATGTGGCGTGGAGAAATCATGCCTGCAGGTCGCAATGAATTTCAGAGAATCCAACAACAGCTGGAGACAGAGAAGTTTCCTTCCCAATTTCCTGGTGGTCCCAACCGTGCATTTCATCAATTGAACAAGGAAGAGCAAGCCACCTATGAAAAGAAACGACTATCTGAGTACTGCAGAAAAGCTTATAAGAAAACCCACATTACTCGTATTGAAGAGAGATATACTACCATCTGCCAGAAAGAAAACTCATTCTACGTTGATACAGTGCGGGCTTTTCGAGATCGTAGATATGAATACAAGGGACTAAATAAAGTTGCAAAGAAGCAAGTAGCTGATGCCATTGCAAGTGGAGATGCTGGTGAAATTAAATCTGCCAAAAATAGGGAGGTTCTGTATGACTCTTTGCAGCTTGCACACAAGTGTATTCTCAATTCCTTTTATGGATATGTCATGAGAAGAGGAGCCAGATGGCATAGTATGGAAATGGCAGGCATTGTATGTTTTACTGGAGCCAACATTATTACCAAGGCCAGAGAAATCATTGAACAGGTGGGTCGCCCTTTGGAACTTGACACTGATGGTATCTGGTGTATTTTGCCGGCATCATTTCCTGAGAACTATGTGGTGAAGAGCACCCACCCTAAGAAATCAAAAGTTACAATTTCCTACCCAAATGCTATTCTCAATTATATGGTCAAAGATCATTTTACTAACGACCAATACCATGAACTAGTTGACCCTGAGAAATTAGAATACAAAGTGAGGAATGAAAACTCTGTGTTCTTTGAAGTTGATGGACCGTATCAGGCTATGGTGTTACCAGCATCAAAAGAAGAAGGCAAAAAGCTGAAGAAAAGGTATGCTGTATTCAATCTTGACGGCTCTTTGGCTGAACTTAAAGGATTTGAAGTTAAAAGAAGAGGAGAGCTTCAACTTGTAAAAATATTTCAGTCATCAGTTTTTGATGCATTTTTAAAAGGAGAAACATTAGAGGAATGTTATGATTCTGTTGCAAAAGTTGCTGATTATTGGCTGGATGTTCTCTACAGCAAAGGTGTTAATTTGCCGGACTCAGAACTTTTTGATCTTATATCTGAAAACCGATCAATGTCAAAAAAACTGTCTGAATATGGTGGCCAAAAGTCAACTTCTATAAGCACAGCCAAACGTCTAGCAGAGTTCCTTGGTGATCAAATGGTAAAAGATGCAGGCTTAGCCTGCAAGTTCATCATAAGTAGAAAGCCAGAAGGTTCACCTGTTACAGAAAGAGCTATACCTCTGGCAATTTTTCAGTCTGAGCCAAGTGTCAAGCGGCACTTTTTAAGAAAGTGGCTCAAGGACACTTCCATCACAGATATTGACATTCGTCAAGTTTTGGACTGGAACTATTATATTGAAAGACTGGGTGGTACCATTCAAAAAATTATCACAATACCAGCTGCTATGCAAGGTGTGGCCAATCCTGTGCCGCGTGTTAGACATCCAGATTGGTTACACAAAAAGATGATGGAGAAAAACGACACTCTGAAGCAGCGCAGAATTACTGAACTCTTTTCAGTTAAACCAAAGGAAAAGTCACAAGAAGAACCTGAAGCTACAGGTGATGAAGAAGATGGTATTGCCAGATCAGAAGACTTGTTTGGTTCTGAAGTAATTGACATGGAAGACATTGGGAATGATGGAACTAGCCCAGTTGGAGGCAGACCTATTTGCAATAAGAGGAAGAGACTGCAAACTCCACCTAACTCTAATCAGGATTCTTCACTAACTTCTCAAGATTGGAGGGAGGCACTTGGTCCTCCGCCGTCAATGGGAACCTCAAAAGTAATTTTTAGAATATTTTTCTCATGATAAGTGGCAAAATGAATATGAAACTAATTTTGGTATTATTTCTGTACAGGAAGAAAGAATGGCATGGATTCAGTACCAAAAGAAGAAATGGGCTTTACAAGCTGAAGCACGAGCAGCCAGACGCAGTGTAGTTGAAAAACGTGCTCGCGTTGATGATGGAGAAGGAGTCGCTGTCGCACGCCCAGGTTTTGGACGAGGATCATCTACAACTTTAGGTGGGTTCTTACGAAGAACTCAACGCACTCTTCTGGATACGCCATGGCAAATTGTACAGGTAAATTCAATTCATACTCCATAAATGGTATTTGCCTCTTTTGTTCTTACTTTGCTATATTGTATTCTGTATTTGCTTACTATAGATTGCTGAGACAAACCAACCAGGAATCCTAAAACTTTGGGCCTTGGTAGGACATGACCTTCATCAAATCAAGCTTAAGGTTCCTAGAATTTTTTATGTGAATCAACGATTGGCTAGGCCAGACCCTGAAAGTAATGTTACCACACTTTGGAAGAAATGTAACAGGGTTCTCCCCAGGTCAAGGCCAGTATTTCATCTATATGAATATTCTGTGCCAGAAGAATTATTTCGAGAGCACAGTCAAGAGTTAATGGCAGACTTATCAACTCCAGATATTGAGGGAATTTATGAGACTCAGATGACTCTTGAGTTCCGGGCATTGATCAAACTTGGCTGTGTGTGTTCAGTTGATAGAAGAGTTGCAAAAAGTATGGCTCATCTTGGTGTTCCGGATACCTTCCACCTTGATGAACTTCAATTCCGGAGCATATCTCAGCAATCATATCTTGATTCATCAGGAGGGGAAGCGCCCCTCAGACACTTGTACTTGTATCATCATCAAATTCCAAATGGAACCAGAGCTATGTTTGGATTATTCCTACCTCCAACCAAGAAATCTTTGATTATTGTTCTTGATACTGTCCGTACTAATCAGATGCCTAATATGAGTTCCTTATATAACACGGAGCGTAATGCTAAAATAGCACGTGGTCATGAAGAGACCTCTTTACCACAAAAAGAATTTAATTTTGAAATTCGTGTTGAAACTGACATCAAACAAGTCTTTAGGCTTCTCCAAAATGCTTTGCAAGCATATAGAGATGAAAAGAAAGGACCATCTCTTCTTGCTATCCAATCTATCCATGGTATTTTTCTAACTGCCTTGTTTATTATAAAAAGTGATTCTTTCTTTCTTTGTTTTTATCTCTATTGACACTTTTTTCTTTCTTTTTTTTTCTCTCAGATCTTCCCACATTGAATTCCTTAATGCCAGGTCTTGGTGAATTTCCTCAAATGGCAATTCATGGTTTAGCAGATGCAGATAATCTGTATTCAACCTTAGATTGGCAAAGAGTCGGAGCAAAGGCCATTGTTCGCCACTACCTGAGTTGTGAAAAGGTGCTGACCATTAGTACTGAACAGTGTAGATATTTCCATGTTCCTCTTGGAAATTTGCCAGCAGATGCTACTCTTTTTGGCGCAGACTTATTCTATGCCAGGCATCTCACAAAACAAAACTTTGTTTTGTGGTGCTCCAACTCAGACCGGCCAGATCTAGGTGGAAGAGAAGCTGATGATAACAGGTACTATCTTTTAGAAATTAATGGAACTTTGCTTAAATTGTTGGGATATGTGCTAACTCTGCCTAAATCTTTCAGGCTTCTCACTGATTTTGAAGAAAGTTCAAATGTTATCTCTAATGCACCTAATGCGTATTCAACAATATGTGTAGACCTAGAAATAGACAGTCTTGCAGTGAATACACTTCTACAGTCTCACCATGTACATGATATTGAAGGAACCACAGCTGGTGTTGCATTTGATGCAATGCCACAAGCATCACTGGAAGACATGATTTCTGGACAAACAGCTGTTTTACCCAGTTATGATGAAACTGCTTTATGTAGTGCTGCATTTAAAGTTTTGAGATCCATGGTTAATGCATGGCTGCGAGATGTGACCATGTACAAAAACGAATTTGCTGACCTTCAAATTGTGCATTTTTATCGTTGGATAAGATCCCCTAATGCATTGCTGTATGATCCAGCCCTACGACGTACTCTCCACAACCTAATGAAGAAGCTATTCATGCAGCTGGTGGCAGAATTCAAACGGCTTGGGTCTATTATTATTTATGCAAACTTTAACAAAGTGATGTTGTGTACTAAGAAAAAGAATGTTAAAGATGCTTTAGGATATGTTGAATACATTGTGACCAGCATCCACAACAAAGAACTTTTTCACAGCATTCAAATCACATATCAGCAGTGTTGGGAATATTTGTTGTGGCTTGATCCTGCAAATCATGCTGGGGTGAGGGGTAAATTACCGACAGATCTGGAAAATGGTGCTGAAGACAACAGCTTTGACGAAGATGAAGAAAAAGACAACACTGTAAGTTTGTTTTTAGTTGGCTATTCTAAATATTTAAAGGGACACACATTACCTAATCTGATCCTTTTACTCCCCTCAGCCAGAGATTGTGATGAACTGGAATCTAATGGAGTATCTTCCAGAAGATGCTGCTTGTCAGGACAACTTCTCTGCAGTAATTGCTGGCTACATTATGAAAGTATTCTTGCATCTGAAAGAAAATATTGTGCCAGATGGGCAAACTCCAGTTCGTAAGAAGAGGGCAGGATCACAAAGTCAAACTCAAAGCAAACCATTGGGTTTAGGAGTCCATGCTTCAACTGCGGAATATGCAAAAGACCTCATCGCAAATGAATTAGCTCAAAAGCTGTTTTAGTAAGTATTTTTTTCTTTTAAAAAATACAAAAAGTGGGATGCTTTGGGATTTTGTCCTTAATATTTTATTTTGTTTTTCTCCTGAAGCATAACAGAAAAAATACACAAGAAACTCCCTAGTCAGCCCTATGATGAGACTTCCCTTTTCCCTCAATTACCTGGTGCCCATCTGAAATTAATCAACCCTGCTTTAGAATTTGTGAAAGCAGTGTGTAAGGTAAGGAGGCAAATGAAATGTAACTGCTGGTCTTTTTCATGTATATTATAATCTAACCTTGTTTTATTTATCTTTGTTTTGTTTTTAATGAAAAAATAAAGGTTTTGTCTCTTGACACATCAGTATCAGAAGAAGTGGATATTCTTAGGAAAAACCTTCTCAGATTAATCAAAGTAGGAAATTTCAGTGATTTGGCAGAATGGAAGGATCCCTGTATTTCCTTTGTACTACCAGAAGTCATTTGCAAAGGTTGTAACCATTGCCGTGATGTTGATTTATGCAAAGATAATTACCGGGCTGAAGAAGAGGGAAGGTCTGTACAGCACTTTTGTCTTATGATGTTGTATTTCAGAATCACAAAATTCTTTTGGCTGATGTTTCACCTTGATGTTTCAGGCCTGTTTGGAAGTGTCCTATGTGCAATAATAGCTATGACAATACTGAAATAGAGCATATGCTCATTGATACTATAAATAGGAAAGTAATGGCTTGCATATTGCAGGACTTGCAGTGTAAGAAGTGTCTTCAGGTACATATTGAATTGATGTTGCTACATTTAGGTATTACTACAAGTAATTCTCTTCCAGTAGTTTCTAAATGTTTACTTGTTTCTCTCTCATGTTTAGATTAAAATGGAAAACATGCCGGAATACTGTAGCTGTGCTGGTGAATTCTACACTCTTCTTTCCAAATCAGACTTGGGTCTCCACCTTTCCACCTTCAGAAGCATTGCTGAACACTTCAACATGCCACTTCTTGTTGAATCTGTTGATTGGATGTTGAAAATGAATCCTTCTCTGACAAGAAGCGAATGTCATTGATTGACTTATATTAATTTATTTTAATTGAGGGTGAACTTTTGTTTTTATCTACTCAGATCCATACTGTGATTTTGAAGTGCTGTAGTATTTTTTTAAATAAAATAAATGTCAAATACTGTAAGTCACTTGGTCATTGATATTTATCTTTTAAAAAGTCAAAGATCTTCAATATGATTGATTTCAGTCATTCCTTAAATATACTAGAGTAATATATCACGTAAGTACAAAACTTTTCATGGTATCACATAGTAGCTCTCGCACAGCACACAAATTTTCAAAAACCCTGGCGTCACTGATGGAGGTTGATGGGGGGCCTCCAGTTGGGTGTGGTTCTTGCCATCTGGAGGTACTTCCCTTTGAGGGCCTCCCAGGTCGTCATGGGGGCAGCCTTCAGACGGTATTGGATCATGTGCTCAGCCAGGGCAGCCTCCAGGAAGGGTAGGACGGCGTGGTCCACGGCAGGGAACAGATGATGAAGACGGTGGTCCCCGAAATGCGTCAGAGAGAAAAAGAGAGACTCTCGGCCTCGCAAACCAGTGCAGTTGCCGGTAGCTGCGAGCTGCATTAGCCCGTAATCGTTGTCAGCCCTGCGAACATCAATAGCGTAACTATAGACCTGGTAGAGACTGTGGGAGTGTATTCCGGCTTGCAGGCGACGAACACAAGCGTGTTAAAAAACGGGTGTTTATGTTGTACCTACTTAACTACTGACCACAACGAAATATTCAAAATTTGGAATTACTGTCTTAAACTGCAAGGTTTCAAACTCTGCTCAAATAACGAATAAGGAATTTTAAGCAATTTGATGACAAATCAAGAGCCGGGAGGGAAGTGGGTTTGCGCAGACTCACCCCAAGGCGTCGCCCTCGTGGTAATTGTCGGGATGGTGGTGTCCGGCCGAGAGTCCCTGCATGGCGAAGTAGAGGCTGCTGACGACCAGCACCCAGGTCCACATGAGCCAGAGGTCCCACAGCGGTGCGCCGCTCAGCAGCATGGCGGCGGGGACGGCCAAGGCCACCGCGTCGGTCCATGCCAACGACAGGCTCTGCAACCTGAACGGCAGATCGTCAGAGAAGGCCAACAAGACCACCGCGGCTCATACGGCCCGGCCCCAAAGCACCACGCACGCACCTCTTGAGGAACTGGCCGTGGCCGAGCACCGCGTACAGAACGGCGCAGTACCCCCAGGACAGGTAGCGCACCGCCACGTTCTTGTGCGGGTACGGCAGGAAGGCGACGAGCGGCTCGAAGAACGTCACCTCCAGGTCCTGGAACGTGTTGGGGAACACGTGGTGCGACATGGCATGGCTCACCATCCACTCCCGGGAGGACATGAAGCTCAGCTCGAAGTAGTACCGCCGCCAGTTCTGCCGCTTGTGGAAGAAGTTGTGCGCGCCGGAGCAGGTGAGGGACAGCAGCAGCCCGGCGACGCCGCCCATCAAGTAGCTGCCGAAGCGGACGGCCAGGAAGCACGCCAGCAGCGAGGACACGGCCAGCGCGTCCACGATGTTCTCGGAGCGCTGCTCGGCATCGCGCAGCACCTGGGAGCACGATAACATGCACAAGGTGAGGGAGCTTCTAGAGGGTTGGCGACGTCGCCCCCACCGGCTCGTTCTCCGCTTCGTCGCTGATTTTCACCTGCTTCGGGATGTTCTCGTACGTCTTGCGCACGCGCTCCCGCAGCTGCATGTAGAAGCCGTCCCGGTGGAAGGTGAACGGCGAGTTGCGCGGAGCAGCGGCCGGCCGCACCAGGAACTTGGGCAGCAGGGCCTCGGCCGTCTCGGAGATGTGGTGCGAGAAGAAGAGTTCGGTAACGTCGATGCCCTGCAACGGGAGGGTAAAGTCAGGACGGACGGAACAGCCGCTTGCCTGGCCCGCACTGCTCCACACACCCACCTTGGTGAGCTCCAGCCACTGCCTGCCGCCCGGGTGGCGCTCCATGAAGGGCGTCAGGTCGTACAGGTTGTCCTCCACGCGCCAGAGGCCCTCGGCGCCGTCCATTCGCCTCCTGTCGGCGAGCCAGCCGTCCACGGTGGCGAAGAGGCCCTTGTCCCTGTCCTTGGGGTAGGCCCAGCCGAGGCCGTGCCAGCGAGACCCCGCGGGCGCCGCGGCCAGGCCGTGGTCATGCTCGTGGACGTGGTCCGGGTCGTGCTCCTGGCCGCAGTCACACTCGCCGCTCAGCGGTACGGCGCGCTTCACGTTGGGCGGCATCCTGGGGATGAAAGGACAGCATGAATGAACGGTGGCGAGGAGTGGGACCCATATAGTGAGACCAGCCTACCGTCTCGATTTTCCTCACCCCTCTCGCCCGCAAACTTCTATGCCGCCTGTGCTTCTTCAGTCGAGAACTTAGGCCAGTCTCACTATACCGGCACGGCGGGCTGAGAGGACACACACGGACACGGTGACGTGCGGGGAAACGATTGTGTGGTTGGGAACGAAGCCGCCTAACTGCCTCGCTGATCACACTGAACCGGGAGCCCTTGCTGCAGCCGCCAGCTGATAGCGCATTTTCGGCGACTGCACTCCCATGTCAACGCCCCCGGCCGCGGGCCGGGCCCCGCATCAGAGAGTTTGTCCACAAAGCGGCGATTTTAACCTCGCGGTTGCCATAATCGACTGACCACCTCACTTTACTGCCAGGTTGTGTACCCGGCGCAAACACACGTGCCAGTGTTTACATTCGAGATGACTAACTGCGCTCCCGCAGGTGTGCGGCCTGTCTCTCACCTGCTTCACGGACTGGGTCACCCCGCTGACTGAAGCGTCGCCGAGACGGCCGCCTACAGGTATAAGGTGCTGGAACTGCTGCACCCCTGCGCACACGACAACCCCACCCCCTCCTCCATCCGACCGGTAACGATATCAGCGACCCGAGGGCGGGACGATTGAGCAAACGGAGGTAACGTCACGTCATGGTCACGTCAGCCGCGCACAGGTCGCAGCTCCTGAATATGCGAATGTGCAGTGCTTTCTATTGTGTCTGGTGGCGCCGCGGAGCGGGGTGTCACACGCAGCAAAGGGGGCCGGTCAGGATTGACCCGACGTACTTACTAGAGTCGGGCCCAGTCAGTCGGCGGCCCTCTGTCTCCGTGCCTCAAAAGTGTTGTTCCTTCATATACTTTTCTTTTCACTTTTCCATGCCGCTGTCGTAACCACCACCTTGAGGTGCGGTGAGTTGGCCGGGCGGGGGCCGGGGAGCCGCGGGAGGAACGCCTCGTTCCTCATCATCCTGGTCGACGTCCCGCTATCCGGAGCTCCGCGGGCTCCGCGCCCCGCAGCCGCAGTTTCTCCTGGAGTCGCGCGGCGCCTTACCAGTCATTAGCAGTTTCTCCCGCCGCCCTTAGTGTCACGTCGGTCACGTGTATAGTACCATTTTCGCAGACACTGTTCACCTCACTGTCGCACCTTCCGTCAGAGACAATCAAGAAGATCGGAAGTAAGTGTTGTTACTTTGTCATGTCCTGATTTTCTAGCTTTGTGATCATTTGTGGGAATTTTCCTTCTTAACGCGAAGATTTAGTCACTCATAAATAAGGAGGCACTTTCCATCGCGCGATTACCATACCCCCCGCTGGTTTTGTCTTTCGACAAGCTATCGGAATAACTACTCGCCGTCTCGGTGCTAGTCGTCGAGCGAAGTTTTTCGCGTGATGGTTGCACTCTCTGCTCGTTAATGCAAAAATTGTTCAAACTACTCTTTAAAACTCGCAGTGGAAATAGCCCGACTTCCAGCAGGATGATGCAGCATAAGTGTGAAAAGCTGAGATTAGAAGCAGTTTTATCAGCGGTCACCGCCCCCCATGCCCCGCCCCTCCCCTCTCCTCCCGGCCTGGCCTTGATAGCGCCGACACACTACTTGATAACACGTCTGACCTGAAATAACCGTCACGGCAGAGAGACCCAACGCATGACGAGGCATCCACCGGCGTCCACCACACTGACAGCAAAACAAAATGAAGTAATTGCCCTGTTTTTCTTCACGTCCGCGATTACTCCCGTCCAGAGCATACAATCCGGGGAGAAAGGGTGGGGGGCGGAGGGCGTGACGCCATCAGCTGCCCGGCGGCGTGCTTTTCACGTCAGCGGCGACCACGACCACGACCACGCACAGGGGCAGGACCAGGAGCACATATGGATAGCAATTGAAATTTTTACCCGAGCTGGTGGTGGTGGTGGTGATGATGATGGTCACGAGCGGGCAGGGGCGACACAGGGCAGCTCGCTGAGCCTGATGTTTGGCGCGCAATGCATCGGCGCGTTACTGAGCGGGTCAAGGGCGCTACGAGCGCGAGTCTGATCCGGCCACCAGCTGCCGGGCCGGCAGACTGCGGCGCGGTGCAGGCAGAGCGCGGGCCGGGCGCGGGAGCGGGAGAGGGGCCGCGAGTCCTCGGCCGTCGCCTTCGCCCGCCCCCTCCCTCCTCACCCCTCTCACCCGCTCGCCGGGCCGGGCCGCCGGGATCCCGATCCCCTTCCCCTCCCCCCGCCCGGCATCGGAAATGTTTCCTTCCCCTGTTGTCTTTCTCTGCCAGTCATCCCTCTTACGCCCAGCCTCTGTCGCATTTTCGGTGGATAGATGCGAGTCATCGACCCCGCCTGCACCCTCCTGTAAACGCCACGAAGTACCCACTGGAGCATTCAGTGAAGACTCGCGGGTGCGGGCGGGTTTGCATATCTGAGGAGCCATGGAGCCTTCCGGTGCTTCCGGGCGGAGCGAGTAGGCAAACCCGCTCGCTTCTGCGTCTTCTCTGAATCCCCCGGTGCTGCGTTAGACTCGCCGAAGCCGAAAATGTCCTCCTTTAGGCCACTACAACATCGAATCGACGAACGCCTCGAAAACATTTCTCGCTGAGTATCCGTATGTACAGTATGGTCTCAGGATGACCTCCAACGAAGAACCCGATGTGCGCCGTTTCCATCCGAAAGAGTCCAATCTGTTCCGCCTACGCCCACCTCTTGGTAAAGTCCGCTGTGCCCCGTTCCAATCCGAAAGAGTCCGGTTTGCTTTTCTGCGGGCTGCGGATCCAAAAGTGTTCAATACTGATGTCGTCTCAATCACATTAATTTCTTCGTATGGCTCTCTTACTTCTAGCACCCTCGAACCTTCTCGATCTCTCGGATCAAACGATTAAACTGCCAGTCGACAGTAGGATGTTTAGTTTTGGAGGGTATGGTATGGTCGCTGATTTCAATGTTGAGAAATACTCTTAGCCAAATTTTTAAGCTGTCGGACGAGTGGACCCCTTGGCAACTTGCTTGTAAAGTTGTATAAATTTTCGTCGAGAAGGACTGAAGACTTGTTCTCGGTCTCGCTGTGCCGAGGCGCCGCCGAAGGTGACCGCACCCGGTGTGCAGTGACGACTACCCAGGGCAACAAACAGGAGCAGCGATCGTGCCTTCCTTTCCTTCTTTGGGGTCCGGTTTCGTCTTGGCGGAGTACCCCATGATCCGGGTTTTGTTAGTGATCCTGCCCGTGCGATGCCAACCATCCTTTGAATTCGGCGTTGTGGTAAATTTTAATTCGTATCAAATTTGATACGCTGTGACTGCTCATTTAGAATTTCGGGTGCTCAGGATTGCACTAAAATGC